GTGAATGGCCAGAGGCCGCACCTACAGTAGCTGCTCACAGCTATAGCAGGAGTCAGAAGATTCCTGCAGCTGCAATTCGCACCTGCCTAAACTGCCAATGTTAATAAAGCCAAGAGGGTTTTTTAGCGGCCAGATCATCAAGAGAAAAGAGGGGGAATGACATTTAAAAAAGAAAACTGATGCAGCCACCACATCAAATCATTACCAAGCTGCAATATTTTGGTTTTGGGTTTAAAACCGCTTTAACACATGCATGTTGCAGTGAGGCAGCTCATTTATTTGGGCTGACAACACAAAGTAAACCTAAAAATACACCTGTACCATTTCTGCTGATGCATGGTAATATGCTACTGTTCAATACTGGTTCATTGCTTTAGTGCATTGGGATACCATTGCATATACAGGTGAAACTCGAAAAATTTGAATATCGTGCAAAAGTTAATTTATTTCAGTAATGCAACTTAAAAGGTGAAATATATGAGATAGACTCATTACATGCAAAGCAAGATAGTTCAAGCTGTGATTTGTTATAATTGTGATGATTATGGCTTACAGCTCATGAAAACCCCAAATCCACAAACTCAGAAAATGAGAATATTGTGAAAAGGTGCAATATTCTAGGCTCAAAGTGTCCCACTCTAACTCTAATCAGCAATTAAGCCATAACACCTGCAAAGGGTTCCTGAGCCTTTAAATGGTCTCTCAGTCTGGTTCAGTAGGAATCACAATCATGGGAAAGACTGCTGACCTGACAGTTGTGCAGAAAACCATCATTGACACCCTCCATAAGGAGGGAAAGCCTCAAAAGGTAATTGCAAAAGAAGTTGGATGTTCCCAAAGTGCTGTATCAAAGCACATTAATAGAAAGTTATGTGGAAGGGAAAAGTGTGGAAGAAAAAGGTGCACAAGCAGCAGGGATGACCGCAGCCTGGAGAGGATTGTCAGGAAAAGGCCATTCAAAAGTGTTGGGGACTTTCACAAGGAGTGGACTGAGGCTGGAGTCAGTGCATCAAGAGCCACCACACACAGACGGATCCTGGACACGGGCTTCAAATGTCGTATTCCTCTTGTCAAGCCGCTCCTGAACAAACAACAACGTCAGAAGCGTCTTACCTGGGCTAAAGAAAAACAAACCTGGTCTGTTGCTCAGTGGTCCAAAGTCCTCTTTTCTGATGAGAAACCAAGGACCCAGAATATGGAGGAAGAATGGAGAGGCACACACTGCAAGATGCTTGAAGTCCAGTGTGAAGTTTCCACAGTCTGTGTTGATTTGGGCAGCCATGTCATCTGCTAGTGTTGGTCCACTGTGCTTCATTAAGTCCAGGGTCAACGCAGCCGTCTACCAGGAGATTTTGGAGCACTTCATGCTTCCTTCCACAGACTAGCTTTATGGGGATGCTAACTTCATTTTCCAGCAGGACTTGGCACCTGCCCACACTGCCAAAAGCACCAAAACCTGGTTCAATGACCGTGGGATTACTGTGCTTGATTGGCCAGCAAACTCGCCTGACCTGAATCTCATAGAAAATCTGTGGGGCATTGCCAAGAGAAAGATGAGAGACATAAGACCGAACAATGCAGAAGAGCTGAAGGCCGCTATTGAAGCATCCTGATCTTCCATAACACCTCAGCAGTGCCACAGGCTGATAGCTTCCATGCCACGTCGCATTGAGGCAGTAATTGCTGCAAAAGGGGCCTAAACCAAGTACTGAGTACATATGCATGCTTATACGTTTCAGAGGTCCGATATTGTTCTATGTACAATCCTTGTTTTATCGATTGCATGTAATATTCTGATTTTCTGAGATTGTGGATTTGGGGTTTTCATGAGCTGTAAGCCATAATCATCACAATTATGACAAATCACGGCTTGAACTATCTTGCTTTGCATGTAATGAGTCTATCTCATATATTAGTTTCACCTTTTAAGTTGTATTACTGAAATAAATGAACTTTTGCACGATATTCTAATTTTTCGAGTTTCACCTGCATGTGAAGCCAGCTTTAATGAAATGAAAAACATTTTTTTAAAAATAAATGCATGTAAAAAAAAAAAAAGTATACATTATGCTTTGGTGAAGTGATCCTAATAACTTTTGAAAGCTGTATCTGTATTATTAAATGGAGGTGTACCTGTTTGATTCATTTATCACAGGCATAAATTTGCTATCCAAATAAATCAACAGACAGCACAATCTATTTTCTTTTTTTTTTCTTTTACGAAAAAGACAAACAAAAAAATAATAAAACACATGAAGCCACATAATGTTTTTTTTATACAATCTACAAACCAGAAGCACTTTGTGCCAAATTTTTCCTACTGACCAGAAAGTACTCCACAGTATTAAAAAAAATGTACTCTTATATCCATCAAAAGGGAACAAAAATCTATCTGCACAGTCACAGAGAAGAGCAAGCAAGTCGGCCTGTGCTCTCTTATCAGAGGACAGGCTTGGAGAGAAGGAAGGGAAGGTGCAAGCATGAGGTGTGTGGAGGGAAGAGAAATGAAATAAGACTAGATGTGGGGTGTAGGAACACAAGATAGGAATGCACCAACAAGTCACAGTGCTGATACTGAAGACATCTAGCAGGAAGAGAGCTTCACAGTGGGGATAGACAGCTGGAGAGGGGAGCAGGGAGGGACGGAGTGTGCTTTTATTTCCTCTTTATTCCCTGTTTTTTCCACGTCCCTCGTCCAGGCATGATTCCCTTGCTGTACAGCCTTACATCACATCTTACACAAGAAGAGCACGTTTGTTACATCACAGCTACAAAGCTTGAGCCAGCTCTTAGGCAGGGAGGGAGCTCCTGTAGGCCGTGTCTGTTCTCTCTACTGATGTGAGCGATCCTGTTGCAATTATTCGCATTAAGAAGACTGTCCACAGCAGTACCAGCAAAAGACTGAGGTTACAGCTGCATGCCAGGAAGGTGCCATTTGATCTCAGCTTATAAGTGGCTATACTTCTGGTATTCCTCCTATTACAGCAATGTTTGCCAAGTAAACAGCTGAGACATATTTAGGGAATGTAAGTATCAAAGCCAAAGTTGGCTAGACTACAAATCCGGCAGTAAAGTAAGTGTCTCCTAAACCCTGTAAAAAGTTAAACAATTAAATTTGAAGTCAGCCATTTTGTAGGATGAACTACAATGTTGTCTATCAGCTTTCTAGCTCGTAGTGACTTGATAAGCTGTTTAATATGACATTGGTCAAGGTTTCAAAATGGTTGCCTTCACAATACAATCGAACAGTCCCTTCATGTAAGTTCATTTAACATATTCCTAATAAAGAACAAATTGGTTTCAAGCAGACATAGAAGTTATCAATTGATACTGTAGGTGTTGTAACAGGTATAATGTCAGTCTTGATGTGTAGTTCCTTTCCATTACAGCCTATCAGGCTTTAAAAGCAACTGGTGCCCACTCCCTATACGCAGCAATTGAGCTCCTTTTAAAAATACAAATTATTCCCCCCATGACAAGGAAGGAAGGACAAAGCATGCACACAGACATAAGCTAAGCTGAACAGCAATGCACATGTACAGCAACAGCTAAGACAAAGCAGCGGTCACAAACCTCAAGATCTCTCAGCAAGGCCCCTTGACTCGTGCTCATCAAAGAACTGGAGCCAGGGCGGTGCTGAGAGAGGCAGACTCTTGTAGAGGTAAGTTGTCACCAAGCGGAGGTCTATTTCATAAGATTGTCCTTGCACTAACTGGAGAAAGCAGGCAGGTGTGTGAGAGAGGGCAGCTCCGTTATACATCTAGACCTGTCTCATGGAGAAGGTGAGAATGGACTCTTTAAAGCCAACATTGTCTTTCGAGAATGAATGACGTTAGTACTATGCTGCCCCCTTCCCAATTACTGCATTGTGCATCTACTGCAGTGCTGGGTATGGAGGGAGGGGTATTAAGACTGGTTCCCTATTGTCAGCCCTTGTGGGAAGGTCTGCTGGCAAATGTGGGTAGAACCCAGAAAGGCAGCAATGAGACAGCTGACAGCCGTGTATGAGCCTGCTCTCACAGAAGTCATAGAGAATACTTGAGACATACACTGCACCTCAATGTGCAACGTTGACATGTCTTATCTGGCAGTAAAAGTGGAGAGCTTTAACTTCACCCACTCTGCTGTGGGAGGTCTGTGAACCATTTACCCCCCTGGCCAACAGTACTCGGTAGAGAAATGGTTAGGCACAGCTCTCCCAGTGCAGGCTATTGAGGCTATGAAAGGGAGTGCTCAGCTCTTACAAAGAGCAGAATACAGGCCCTTGGCAGGACTGGCTTCTGTCAGATTATGGCATGGCTGCACACCACTAAGATGAGCATAGAGAATTTAACACATCCAGCAAGAAGATAGGAAAGGTCAGGGAGAAGATAGGATGGAGAAAGAGAAAACAAAACTTTGGTTTAAAACAATGGATCAATGAAAGTTTAAATGTAGGGAGGTAATTCCCTAACAGTTCAGTCACTCCCCCAGCCCCTTTTTCATTGGGACCCCTTCCAGCACTGCTGGGGGGTGGGAACAGAAAATGTCCATGATGCTCTGCAAAAAAAATGCATGAATGGAGATGTCAAGGTAAGGGCAATGAAAATAGTATGTAAAACAAACAAAAAAAGACCAGCTGTGAATAAAACAAACCCAGCACAGGGTTTTGTGTGTGGCATCACAGCAATAGAAATCAATTAAATCAAGTCAGTCTGAAGTCAGGCAAGCAGAAAGGTGGGGCAAATCAGCAGATGGAGATTTTGATCACCCTTTAATATTATGACTCCATCTTAGCAGCCTTGAGTGTAGAGGTCATTCCTTGGCTTCTTTGTTTACATCTGTCCCTGGATTTAGAGGCAGGGGGGGCAGGCAAATCACTTAATGTTGGGTTGGCAAGCGCACAGAAGGTCAGCCCTGTAATGAAGTGGTGTGGTGAATGGACAGAAAGAAGCCTGAAGTGGGGATGAAAGTTTGGAGGAGATGGTCGAAGAGAATGAACGTTAAAAGCAACAAGTGCCTCATGTGTTGGCTTCATCATCAGTGTCATCAATCAGGACCTTGGCATCTCGAGCCTTGCTCCTATGGAATGAAGTAGATGGCATTAGCTATACAATGCAAGAATCAACTTACATAGACACTATGAGGGGAATTTACTAAGACTGGAGCAGCCAGAATCTGAATCAGCTGTGCATGGGAACCAATCAGATCATCACATTCATTTTCAAAGCTTTACTGAACAAGCTGAGGTTAGAAGCTGATTGGTTACTAGGAGCAGCTGCTCCAGATTTTGTCTGCTCTAGTTTTAGTAAATTCCACCCTATATGGCCAAAAGTTTCTGGACATCTAACCATCACACCTAAAAGAGCTTGTTGAACAGCCTATTTCAAAATCATGGGCATCAATACAGAGCTGGCTCCCCTTTTGTGACTAGAGCAGATTTACAGAATGTCTGTGGGAGTTTCTCCATACTAAACTCCTCATATTAGATTTCCGTGGACCTGGCGTTGTGCACAGGGGTGAAGCCATGCTCAAACAGAAAAAAGGGCCATTCCCAACAAGGTTGGAATCTCGCAATTGTCTAAAATGTCTTTGCATGCAGCTGAACAAACAGTACCCCTAACTGGGAACACCTGCATTCAATGTGCAGGAGTGTCCACCTACCTTTAGCCATATACTGTAGGTAAGTGTGATGATCAGGTGCCCTCAACATTTTGGTAATAGAGTGCATCATTAAAAACTCTATATCAGACTGAGTGTTACATACAGACTACTCACTAAAATGTACTTAAAGTGGTTGTAAACCTCAGACATAAAATATGAACAAAGCATATCCCTTTATAGTGTACACTGGTCTCAACAGCATTAAGTGCTGCTTTGTTCCTCTGCTATCAGCATGAGTCACTTCTCACAAGCTTTCCTGACCCCAAGAGAAAAAAAGGTTGACAGGGGAGGCACCTTCAGCAGATTGACAGCCTCAGCTCTCTTCCTGTGAGCTGTGTGGATGGGGGTGTCTCTTTCCTCCAATCAGAACTCAGTGCTCTCCTCACTAAGCTCTGTAGAGTGTAATTTCAGCTCTCCGCCCCCTCTTTTCTGAACTCTCAGACAAGCTTTTAAATTCTGGGCTTTGAACAGATGTAGAGAAGAGAAGACTGCAAATAAACAGGTACAAACTTATGTAGGAGGATTTTATTCACCTCTGTGTATCACATGAGTCCAGTCACTTCACTGAGTAAATGTGAGAGTTTACAAGCACTTTAAGAAAACATTCATATGCCCTTTGTCCTAAGTCCCGGATCCTATCAGACGCCACAAGACTTGCAAGCACTGATTACTACTTGATTGAAATATAAAAGGTGCAGCGCTAACTTCATTCACTAGTGAGGATACCAAGGGCAGTCCTTTAGTGCCAGCAGCTTATACCTTTCTACACACCCATAGCGCTCACTGACATTCCATATACACTGATTACTACTTGCAGCATATATGTGCCTTAAAGTGTAGCTGTTCTTTAGCACAGATTGACAAAATAAACAAAAAAACACCCTCCCCAATCAAAAAATACAAAAAAAAAAAAAAGATAAGATTCAATCAAGATCAAAGTTTCACTGCTGAAAGCGGAAAACTTGCCACCTGCACTAGATATTTGGGTCCTGGGATCTGTTCAGGACTTAGATACATATACATTAGTTATTTATTACCATTAACAGGTATCACCAGATCACTCACTGGGAGGACAAGCGTGGTCTACGGAGAGAGATACTCTGGCTGCGCTTCCATATCTTGCTTTTGGCTCGGTTCTTCACTCCATCCTCCTGATCCATCATCTGCTCCAGCAGTGTTTGGTCATCGGCATTCATTGGTGCCACAGAGATGTCGCGCACAGCGCGGAACTCACCACAGTTATTCAGGTGCTCATTCTCCAGACGGAAGAAATTCCACACAAAACGGCTGTGGGACGAGAGTGGAAAGTGGAGGTAGAAAACACTTCTACTTTAACAAAAGCAGCAAACCAGTTTTCACATGTTTTAAACTCTCCTTTTAAAAATGCTGAATCCCCAGCTAATTGTAAAGCCCAACTGAACTTTCAGATTAAATCAGCTAAATACAACAAAATCAGCCACAAAACAAAAAGTGTGCACTCTTACAGTTGTTTTCTTTAGAAGGCAACCATATTGCCTGAGTAGAAAAGCCTATCCCCTGCCAGCATGCTGCGGAGAGGGACCCTTGCTCGCTGTGTGGAAGCAGTGGTCTCCATGCAGTAATCTGACATATCCTGAGTCACACCCATAGCTCTGCATGTTCTGCATCAGCAATGCTTTGACGCTGATTGAAGGGCCTTGCTCCAACTCGGCAGGGGGCATGTTGTACCTTTCCAGAGAGCCCACACACAAACATCCTTCTCTGCAGTAAAGCAAATAAAACGAAGATTTTGAACACCTTTTTCTTGGTGCACCTGGAATGTATTTAGCAGTTTTATACTGATCGTTCAATTGGGATTTAAATAGGAACTAAACTCTCCATACTTACCTGTCCAAAGGTCCTGTGCCAGCATCTTTATCTGAGTGCCGGTCTTCAGGCCTCTTTAATGGACCGTGGGGGATGCTGTAATTTCTGCGTATGTGCAGGAGGCCGTCATCTTGACACTCGGAGACTGGCCCGGCACTGTAAGCTGCACATGAGCAACTCAGTTTACAGTGCAGGAGGAGATAGCGAGCAGGCAGGTAGGGGCAAGTGCATGTCTCTTCTGCAATAAAAGCTTGCCTGATCGCAGGTTTTTACTGGCACAAAACATGTATATAGGGAGCTTTGACTATTCTGTCAAAAAAGTCAGGCAACTAACATTTTCATTTTGCAGCCTTCCTTTTTATCAACATAGAATTTCTTTAGGGGACAATTTTGTGCCCATATCAACATAACGCTGCTGGCTCAAACCCTGCTCAATACAAACACTACTTTTTACACATCTGATGAGCTGTTGGAAAAACAGCTCTAGAATGTGGGACTGTATTGTAAACATTTGATTTTAAATGTAAAAATGGCTACAGGCATAAACAGAATGATTTTCATTCCTCTGCGGCTACAATCAAGATCTTGTAGTACATCTGAATGATTTGTGTTTCAGTTTTATAACCATCTACAGTTAAAAAAAAAAAAAAAAAAAAAGTGGGGAGGTGTAAAAATTTTGGTAGAATACATCTGATTAGGCATCTGCAAAGAATAATCTGCACTTAAAGGTCACGGAGTTAGACCAGGCTGAAAAATAAATATCATCAACCAGTCTCTAAATGTGTCTAAAAAAAATGGCCTTGTAGTATAATGCATGCAGAGTAGTGAGACAAGCTATGACAAAAAAATGTAATGCATGAGTTCCTCTGGTGAACAGCAGAGGGCGAAACTTGTATTATTAATACCAAGCAATGCAGAAGGAAGACCTAATAATTCCATCAAGGTCATATGTAGGTAAAAGCAGATAAAGAGCTTTTCATTTGATCAAAAACACCTTGAAAAAAGCAAACTATTTTATGTGGCTAAATTATGCCTTATTAAAAACTTTCTTTCAAAAACAATTTTATTTATTGGAATGAAGGAAAATGAAAAATACAGTTGAAAACAAAACACATTTTCAGCAAAAATGAACATGCACTGAGCACACATGAATAAGTACAAATAATCAATAAATATTTTTTAATGAGAATGTGTGAACAGCCAACTGAATCTTTAACCCTGTTCTCCATAATCCACACACTGTGTGGTCACAGGATATGCTGAAATCTGGCATGGAGGCCTCATTCACACCAAACGAAAGTGCAGAAAAACTGATGGAAACTGATGCACAGATGGCCCTTGCAGATACATCAGTTTACATCAGTGAATTTTCATACACGTTGCAGATTCCTGCAGAAAAAAATCTGCATATGATACTAGCGTAGTGGTGTGAACAGGGCACGCAGAGAAAAAAAAAAAACTGATTTCGTGGTGCCCTTGCAAAATGTGTACAAAAAAACAGATGTCTCAGCACCATGGTATGAACAAGCCCTAAAGGCCACCCTCAACCCAAATGATAAAAGATTAGCATAACTTCAAAAATAAGGTCTACTCCATGGAGCCATCACATATTAATAGAGACTCCTAATCCTAAGGTGTATGCTTAACGGCTTTCCACCTGGCCAAAAGATACGTCCTCCCCGAAGTGCACCCGGGGGCACATAGCGGCACAATCTGTTACAAATTAATCACCGTTCAGAGTACTGGGCTGCTGTGCTTGGCTCTGGTACCATATGATCACTGTGACCAATTACAGTGATCACATGTCCAGCAGTAAACAATGGGTTTCATTCACAATGCCACTGCTTTCTACCGTGATTGGTCACAGTGATCACATGGTACAGGGTCAATCACGCCAGCCCTGTACCATGTGGTAGCTGTGGCCAATCACAGCAATCACAAATAGTAAACAATGGCATAATGAATGGATGCCAAACACTGACAGAAATGATTGCTTATACAGTGATCATCACTGTAATAAGTAATCATAATGTGAAAGAAGAAAACAAATCCTGATCACCCTCCCAGAGCAATATAGTATCACTATGGTGACACTGCACTGCTTTGTGACCGCATGTTTTGTAAAAAAAAAAAAAAAAAAAAAAAAAAAAAAACAAAAACCAAACAAAAAAAAGTAAAGAAAAATGTATTTCACTGCCGTCAGCCATGGTCTCTGATGGCCATCACTGCAGCAGTGCAATGTTCTGCCAATGACCAGTGCTGCAGTCAGTGTCCCTAATCACACCTGTTCACTCATGTGATAGACCAACACAACATAATTTTGAAGTGGAAGGAAAATGCCTAATCACTGCCACCCCAGTTCCAATGTCCCTAATAACTGCCCCCCCCCCCCCTGCCCCAGTGTCCCTAATCAATGCCCCTCCAATCCAAGTGTGTCCCTATTATCACTGCCACCCCAGTTGCAGTGTCTCCCTAATCACTGCCACCCCAGTCCCAGTGTCCCCAATTACTGTCACTCCAGTCATATCATCCGTAATTACCGACCACACCAGTCATATTGACCCTGATCATCTCCACACCTGTCCGTGTTCCTGATCACCGGCACATCAGTCCCTATGTCACCAGACCAGTGTTTGCTAGTAACATAGAAAAAGCATTCCTTATCAACCTGTCACACCAGTTGCAGTGTCAAAACATTATTGTAAGCCAGCACCAGCGTCCCTGATTGTCACACCAGTCCCAGTGTCATCAGACCAGTGTAAGTCAACAGCACTGTTCCTGATTACTGCCACACTAGTCCCAAGTCCCCAAACCAGCTTAAGCCAGAAACCGTGCTCCTGATCACCACCGCACCTGTGCAGTGTTGCCACTGTGACTGCCGCCTGTACTAACCCTGACCTGTTAATTGACCACATTTCTGCCTGTTGCCTGGACCGATCTTTTGCCTGCTTGCTGACCATGTCTCTGCCAGAGGCCTGAACTGACCCATCTACAACTACGACTAACTGTGTTCCTGCCAGACAGCAATCTCACCCATCCCCTCTAGACAACTGCACTTTTGGAACCCCAGGAACCCTTTAGTTGGTTAGGCTTGTCCAATATACAGTCAGTCCAAAAAGTGAAAAAGTCTCACACATATGGCATCATCTTACTCAGGAGTAGGAGATTTTATTTTGGTTTGTAATTATAAGTATGCCCATGCTGTATTTGATAAATATCTTATTAAATTGACAACTTTGCATAGAAAAATAAATTATTTTCTTTCTGCATTTTTCAAAAAAATTGTGGCAAAAAATTAAGATACAGTGCCTTGAAAAAGTATTCATACCCCTTGAAAATTTTCCACATTTTATCATGTTACAATCAAAAACGTAAATGTATTTTATTGGGATTTTATGTGATAGACCAACACAACATAATTGTGAAGTGGAAGGAAAATGATAAATATTTTCCATATTTTTTACAAATAAATATCTGAAAAGTGTGGCGTGCATTTGTATTCAGCTCCCTTTACTCCGGTACACCTAATTAAAATCTAGTGGAACCAATTGCCTTCAGAACTCAATTAAACCGTAAACAGAGTCCACCTCTGTGTAATTTAATGTTAGTATAAATATAGCTGTTCTGTGAAGCCGTCAGATATTTGTTAGAGAACATTAGTGAACAAACAATATTATGAAGGCCAAGGAATACATCAGACAGCAGGGTTAAGTTATAAAAAATATCCCAAGCTTTGAACATCTCATGGAGACTGCTCAATCCACCATCCAAAAATGGAAAGAGTATGGCACAACTGCAAACCTATCAAGACATGGCCGTCAACCTAAACTAACAAGGAGAGCATTAATCAGAGAAGCAGCCAAGAGGCCCATGGTAACTCTGGAGGAGCTGCAGAGATCCACAGCTCAGGTGGGAGAATCTGTCCACAGGACGACTATTAGTCGTGAATTCCACAAATCTGGCATTTATGGAAGAGTGGCAAGAAGAAAGTCATTGTTCAAAGAAAGCCATAAGAAATCACGTTTGCACTTTGCGAGAAACCATGTGGGGAACACAGCAAACATGTGGAAGAAGGTGCTCTGGTCAGATGAGACCGAAATTTAACTTTTGGTCTAAAAACAAACCGCTATGTGTGGTGGAAAACTAACACTGAAAGTTGCTGTTTACAGATGCTCTCCATCCAATTTGACAGAGCTTGAGCTACTTTGCAACGAAGAATGGGCAAAAATTTCACTTTCTAGATGTGCAAAGCTGGTGAAGACATCCCCCCAAAAAATTGCAGTTGTAATTGCAGCGAAAGGTGGTTCTACAAAGTATTGACTCCGGGGGGGGACTGAATACCAATGCACAGCAAACCTTGCAGATATTTATTTGAAAAACTTTTGAAAATCATTTATCAATTTCCTTCCACTTCACAATTATGTGTCACTTTGTTTTGGTCT